ACGGATCGTCAATCCAGTCATTTTGTCAGGCGATTGCACCGATTGAACTAAGCGGCGCTGCGCCGAACCATTCGGTGCGGAGAGACTCGCGCTTGGGCCGTCACATTACACGGCCGTTGCGATCACGGACCGCCCCGGTATTTATCTCGAGTTCAATGCCGTGGTCAGCAGAATGGATACGCAGCTCTCCCCCCGCGCATATCCATCTGCGCGGATGTCAAAGGTGTGACATCATCCTAGTAGCGAAAGCATTCCACTTTTGGCAAACCCAAAACTCCACGCGTGACCCAGCAACCCTACACCCAACGCTAGCCCATCACCACAGGCGTGGTGTCCGATTTCGGCTCTGGCCAGATGAACCGCTACTAGCTAGGTCGAGCACGCCGTGTCCAGCGTGAGACAGGCGCCGTTCAGACCAAAGGTGAAAGAGACCAGCCCAGACGAGACATTGGCATGCGTAGGTGCATACTCGGAGTTTGAACTCACAACGCCCTCGACGGGTTGCGTGAGCATACCTACGTAGACTGCCACATCAATACCTGTAGATGACCTCGGTCGTAACTCCAGGCAAGTTCGCGAGCATTATAACAGTAGTAGATTCTAGGGGTCTTGGTTACAAACGAAGTGTTGCGACATCTTGAATGAGCGACCATCATCAACGAGGGCACCGACTAGCATAAATGAGCCGTAACTCGCAGAAACATTCTTGAAAAGCTAGGCAGCATCCCAGCGCGCGTAGGGAACATGGGCAGGAGTTGTCGTTGCAGTAAATTGAAGCTCACGCAAGCCTTCAATATCGTCAATCGCTGCTGGCATCTCAAAGCAACAGTAGTCGAGCCATATTGACGTCGAAGACCACAACGCCACGATTGTTTCTACATGGTGGCGGGGCGATGTTGAACGCAGCGAATGGCTTTATTTAGCCAAGAACTCTGCGATGCTCTAGAGCGTTGGGTAGTCGAAGACTAGCGTCGCGGGAAATTCAGTGGAGTACCGCTCGGAGACGGCTTGCACAAACTAGGTTCCAGCCAACGAGTCCAACCCAGCGGCCATGAGCGGCTCATCTGATGAGACCGCGGTGCCGAGGAGCTCTAGAGCAGACGCCACAAGAGCATAGATGATGTCCCCAACGTCCGTTTCTGACGAGGTCTTCGATTCTACAGGACTCTCTTCCTGGATCGACTTCACTACCCAGCGCTGAAGTCGTAGCGCGGTGGGGCTGTTGCCGAAGCTTGCGATATTGCCAATCTCAAGAGAATTGTCAAGCCACTCGGATGCGATTTTTCCTGCGAGTCCTATGAACGGGTTCGTGAGTTTTGCATGACGCGCCTAACAAAATCACGCTTCACAGAGGGCGGAGAGATGAGACCACTCGTGCACATTTTCTGCTCTTGAAGCGCGGTGGCAAAATCAATGATGGAAATTCAGACTGCGATGAATCACGCGCTGATAGGCTGCGGTAGCTAGCACACTACTTGCTTAGAGCGATCGCATGATTTCGGCGGAAATCTGGGAGACAGGCGCGTCCACGAGATCTAGCTTGGATAATTCACTAGATTTCATATCGTCCACAAAAATCAGCACGCTAAATGCGGCAGCTTCGACGTAGCTCGAGCCAAACGGGGTCTGAAACCCTCCTGCGTCGTCGAGGATTGCCTCGGCCTGGTAAATCAAATTCTCTCGCACAATGTTATTGGAGTAAATCGAGCTACTTCCAAGCACTTCCCTCACCATTTCATTCTTCCAATATCCAGTGCACTTCAAAATGATTTCACATCGAATTGCCTCTTTGGTCGTTGTAGAGGTGGCTTGATTGCTGACGCTCAAAATTTCGCCGAGAAGAGTGGCGAGAAGACCATAATAGTGAGCCACGAACCATATGTCCGACACGGAGATTGTGTGTCCGGCAGGCGAAAGTCGCCCCTCGCGCCAGCACTCTGGTTTGATGGCTGAGCACAGATGATACACACGATCCCAGGCGGCGAAGATTTTCTGGGAACCCGTCGTTGCATGAGCGAACAAAGGATCATACGGCCGCACGAAGTTCAAATAGTCCACAACCAGTGGACTTACAGTACCGCGCCGTCGTTAAAGAAGAGAAACTCTTTCTGCACCGCACTCGAGCGCGTTGCGGGCATTCTCTGCAGCGAAGGCCCCCGCGCCAACTATCAAAATGACACGACTCAAAAAATTTACGTCCTCTGGACCGTTAGCGACTCCGTAGTGCACTCTCCCAGTCCACGTGCCTTCGTTCGGAAAACAGAGTTTACGAGTGGCTCCCAAGCGTCGATTTATACCCGCAAGCACTCTGCTCGCCTCGAGAGTTGCATGGTTTCGGTCGTGCGAGTATCAGAGTGCCTGATGCAACATCCGGATAGAACGAACACCAGTCACAGTGACTTGTAGTTTCAATTTTTGCGCAATATATGTCCTCGCCAAGAAAGCAAGGTCACCCGTAATCTACGAAGTGGGAGTATGATCCAGATTAATTGCTCCAGCCCTCTCCGCAGGGCGATAAGCTGCTTCTGAGGTGTTCACCCTCGATGACGAGTTAGCTTGTGTGTACCAAACACCACCGATCGCATCACACTTTTCTAGAACTACCAACTAACATCCATCCGAAATGATTCTGCGGGCAAG